TGATGTTTTATTACTCTGTAATATCTTGAATTTCTATGATGATTTCCACTCACCAAGTCTAACTATGGTACAGATGTGAAATTAAGAAAATGGAAAGTTCTGGTCCAGTCAGCCCAAGAAAAGTATAGACTGAATGTTGACAAACACCTAAACTTCTGTTGGTGATAGTTTTTGTAAACTGCAATGACCATTTGACCAATTCCTAGCCTAATTAATGACAAAGATATAGATCAAAAGATGCATATATTCTGACCCATGCCTGAGATATCTACTTTGTCAGTTATGATGACTAGGTGAACTCAACAAGGGGTTTTTCCTAAGATAACATGGCCTATCATGAAAGGAGTCATAGGGCCCAGACGGCAACCATTAAATGGTGTATAAAGCTCTATATATTCTGACTTATACATTGCTCTGGGCTCAGTAAATCTTAAAGCTTTGGTTGCTAGTTCTGGGACCATATGCATGTGAAAAGAGAATAAGTGCGCCTCCTGATCCTCTCCTGGGTGAATGCTTGGTCTCTTAGCTCTTTGAAGAATTTTTCCATAACCCTGGTTGCCAGTGACTGTTGTGTAGTAATTTGCACTGACATTCCATTCTGTGGTGATATGAAAAGTCAGGATGTTAAAAGGGAGGTAAACATCCCATCCTGCAGGGAAGCTCTTTAAGAAATAACTTCAGGAAGTCCCTGAAATTGAACAGACTCCCTAGTCACTCCCCTCCCTCCCAAAACATATTTAAGTAGTAAGGAATGTGAAGAGACATTCTCACACCAGCCATCTTCCTAGAAGAGGCTCAGACCAACTGAGCTACCCAGAAGAGACATTCTTCAACTTGTTCAGCTGCCTGCAGGTTGTGCAGTGTGGTCTAGCTTTCCTGCTTTACAAGCTTCCACCATGTTGGAGTGGGCTTTTGGTTGATGCAGCTGTTTTTGAGTCACTTCTGCTCCTGTAAGTAACCCTAATAAAATCCAGTGGTTTACCAAGTCGGATTTTGGTGGTAGCCTCTCCTCTCTGGGGTAAGTAAAGTTTATTCAGATCTCCCCAGGAATAGTGTCACACATCAGGGGTCCAGCATTGGTCAGCTACTGAAATCCTCAGCTCTAAGGAACAGACAGTGGCCGCAGCCCCTGCTGGTGGTGAAGCCCCTGGGAGGGCCTCAGACCCTTGTTACCTGTGGTGGGCGATGTTACAACTCTGGGGCCTGGGTGCCAGGATCCTTGTCTATAAGGCATGGCAGCTCCCCAGACCTCGTCCAGGGATGGGGGCAGCAATTTCTCAGTTTCAGCTCTTCACAACTTTCTTCCTCTGGCTTCTGCTCTCTGCTGCCTCAAGTTCTCCCCCTTTGCCTCTGCAGTTTCTGTCCCCTCTTGCTGTTCCTGTCACTAAAGGGAATGGTGGTATGACGTGGTGTTCTGGAGTTTGAAACCATTGGGAAAAGACCACCAGACCCAATTCAAATTTTAATTGGTCACATTTATCAGGGCTATAGCCGTCCGTGGTCCCTAAGTTAGATTCAGGACTCATGGCCCCAAGGGGAGGGTGAAACTAGCTTATGAAGGCAAAAACTGCAAAAACCATAGGAATTTCATCACACATGAGTAATAACGCCAGGTGGTCCTGACTAGGGTCAGGATGGCCCAAGTTAGCAGGTAAGCAAACTACAGAAGCCAGAACAAGCTTGTGTTAGTCCGTCTTTTAACAGATGCATAGACCTTGACAGTAAGGCACTTTCTGATTACTGTTGTTCTTGAGGCTTCTTGGCCAGGCAGAAGCACAGCTGCAGTGTCTGGGAGGTGAGCAAGGTCAGCTGCTCCAAAGAAAGCACTCTTCTAAGGGGAAGCCGCTAAGTTCAGGTGCTTGACCTTCTTGAAGCTGGCTGTTTTTCTAGCCTTTGAAGTTTAACGTGGCTGAAGAAAATGGTGTTTCTTTGGCTGTTAGGGGACTTCATTGGGGGCCATTACAATGGTTGCCACCCTACTGACGTATCTCAAGTTGCTACTTCAACTTATGAAATCACAGTAGCATTAAAAACTGTTGAGAGTTATTGGGCCTAAAGCTACAATACTAGGCACCAACACAGAACATCTGGCTCAAAAATTAAGCTGATGGGTGTCCCATGCATACCTCTAACGGCAGCTGTGAGGTGACCAGAGCTAGGATGATTCCTTGGGTTTGCTGGCTTAAAGCCAAGTGGAGAAAACACCAGCCCCAGCTTCAGGGAGAGGCCCTGCCTCAAGAACTGGATGGAATGATAGACGGTCACCTCACACCCTCTTTTGGTGTCTGCCTATACACTGGTATACACATGTGCACACACAAATCTTTTAAGCAGTAGACCTGGTTCAGTCCCAGCACATCAGTTCAGTTCACAACCATCCATAACTCCAATTCCAGGGGATACAATGTCCTCTTCTGGGTTCCAATGTTACTAGGCACACATGTGGTGCATATGCATACATGGAAGCAAACATTCATACACATTTAAAAAAAAAAAAACTGGCTATAGGGAAAGCAGTGGGGGCATGGCAACTGTTTGCAGGAACCTTAACACAACTCTTCATGCAAATGAGGCTTGTGTTTGCACTAATTACAGGCTGACTTCTGGGTCACTAAGAGGACTGTTCCTCCTCTAGCCTAGTGCAGTCATCTTGAGTTTATGGCTTTTGTCGGCAGTGCATATGCATACATGGAAGCAAACATTCATACACATTTAAAAAAAAAAAACTGGCTATAGGGAAAGCAGTGGGGGCATGGCAACTGTTTGCAGGAACCTTAACACAACTCTTCATGCAAATGAGGCTTGTGTTTGCACTAATTACAGGCTGACTTCTGGGTCACTAAGAGGACTGTTCCTCCTCTAGCCTAGTGCAGTCATCTTGAGTTCATGGCTTGTGCAGGCATGACCAGTTTAAAACAGTCAAGGCTGCAAAACTGCCTTCTGGAGCTGGCTAGGGTACTTCAGTAGGAAGCATGAGGTTACGGTACCAGCCTCATCAAGGTTTCTGAGGGGTGTTTAAAGTAGCTGGGCTTCTCTTGCCTTTTCCTCCCTTCCTTCTTTTCCTCCCTCCCTCCCTTATTATTATTTTTTTTGAGACAGGGTCTTCCTGTAGCCCCAGCTGGTCTGGAACTTGTTATGTAGACCAGGCTAGCCTCCATCTCACAGAAATCTGCCTGTCTGTACGTCCCAAGTGCTGGGATTAAAGGTGTGCACCACCACAACCGGCTAATTTATTTTTAGTTTATGTGTATGAGTGTTTCACGTATGTAAGTGTACCAGTTGTTTGCAATGCCCTTGGAGGTCAGAAGAGGGTGTTAGATCCCTGGAACTGAAGTTATAGATGGTTGTTAGCCCTCATTTGGATACTAGGATTCGAACCTGGTTCCTCTGCAAGAGTAGCCAGTGTTCTTGACCACTCAACCACCTCTCCAGCCCCTCCCCTTTTATTTATTATTTTTTTGTCTTTTTGAGATAGAGTTTCCTTGTAGCCCCAACTGGCCTGGAACTTGCTATGTAGACCAGGCTGGCTTCAAACTCACAAAGATCTGCCTGCTTCTGCTTCCCAAGTGCTGGGGCTAAAGGTGTGCACCACTATGCCCAGCTTCCCTTTATTTTTAATGTGTGTTTTGCCTGCATGTATGTAAGTGCACCTGTGCAGCAGAGGAGTTGAGTTACAAATGGTTAACTGCCATGTGGGTGCTGGGAACCTGGTTCCTTTGCAAGAGCAGCAAGTGCTCTGAACTGCTGAGCCATCTCTCCAGCCCCTGTGCTACTTTATTTCACTCAAAGAAACACCAGGAGTGTATATAACAAAGGTTAAATGAAGGTTCTACACAAAGTATTCTAAGGGTCTCCCTGTAGTCCCAGCTGGCCTAGATTCGCTTTGGAGACCAGACTGGCCTCCAACTCCCAGAGATCGCCAGCCTCTGTCTCCGGAGTGCTGGGATTAAAGGCGTGCACCACCACACCGCGGCTCTAATAGCATTTTAACAGTACTCAATAGTATACAGTCATGCTAAACTGCCCTCAGCTCTGCTCCAGTTTCCCAGGAAGAGGTAGGTCCCTCAGTTTAGACTGACTGCCTATGCATTTGGGGCTTTCCCAATAACTGGTAATTTCGTTTCAACAACTCAAAACTCAGTAGAGTGCTACCCTTATGTTATCATAAGGGTACAACCCCTTCCTTCACAGGTTATATATATTTTTAATGCATATGAGTGTATTGTCTTTGTGTGTGTAAGTGTACCCATGTCGTGCAATGCCTTGGAGGTCAGAAGAAGGCATCAGATCCTCTGGAACAGGAGATGGCTGTTAACCACCATGTGGGTGCTGGGAACTAAACCCGGGTCCTCTGCAAGAGCAGTTAGTGCTCTTAACTGCTGAGCTACGTCTCCAGCCCCAGATTACCTATTTTTAAGGAATAACTCCATTTTTCTCCCTTGTCGCAGAAATGAGGCTCTCCTGTAAAATTATTTTGAAGAGAATCACTAGGTCCAAGTTCAGTCATCACTGAACTTTGTGTGTGCGTGTGACAGGGCTCGCTGTACCTTCTGCAGGCCTGGAACTGGCTATGTAGCCCAGGCTGGCCTCGATCTCACAGTCACAGAGATCGTCTGCCTCTGCCCACCACAACTAACTTTTTAAAGCAAGAAGCCCCGGGCGGGCGGCGCAGGCCTGAAAGCCCACCACTCGGAGGATGAGGCTGGAGGATGCGTGTCTGGGGTTAGGGTGGTCTACAAAGCAAGTTCCAGGCCTGTCTACAAACCCGAAAAATAGGCAAACGCTGCTCCTTCGTCTTTGTCTTTCACAAGTAATGGCGGCGATGGTCCGACTCCGAGTCCACTCTCCCAGGGCCGCGTGCTCCCCAGGGAGGCGGAAGACCCACAAATCCCAACAGGGTTCTGGCCCGTCCCGCCCGCACCGAGACCCCGGCCTCAGTCTTCTGCGCCTGCGCCCTTGGTTTGCGCAGGCAGCGCCGCGGACGCCCCTGGGTCCTCGAGGGCCGGAAGTGCTTGCGCTCGGCCTTTCCCGTCCTGACTGGCGGACGAGGCCGGCGTGCTCCGAGCGGTCGGAGCTAACCGCTGCCCAGTGGGCCGCTGTGGCCGGGCGCACCCCACAGTCGGGAGAAGATGGTGGGCCGGAACAGCGCCATCGCCGCGGGCGTGTGCGGCGCCCTCTTCATCGGGTACTGCATCTACTTCGACCGCAAGAGGCGAAGTGACCCCAACTTCAAGAACAGGCTTCGAGAAAGTGAGTGGTCCCGGGCCCCTAGCGCGCGTTCCCTGGCGGCCTCGCGGAGTGCGGCCCCGGGGTCGGCGTCGCCGCGCTGCGGGGGTTCCGCGTGCGGCCGCGGCCTCCATCTTGGAGGACACTGGCTCCATCTTGCTGGCCCTGGAATGCAGGCCAGCTCGAGGGAGTGTTCGATGGGGCGGGGCTTGCTCTGTACCCCAGGCTTGCCTTGAACCCGCGGCAGTCCTCCCGGGGGCTGGGATGACCGTCGTGTGCCCCCCTCGCCGGCTCCATCCACCCTGTGCGGGCTTTATACGTGCGGACGTGCGGGTACCGTGGAGACCAGGTATTGCTCGGGCTGGTCTCGAACTCGTGGGCCTCCGACCGCTGGACACTCTCAGCCACAGCGGTGCCCCTGATATTTGATGCGTTTAGACCGAACGTCCCCGCGTACACCCGCGCGGGTCCTTCCCTGCATTCTTAAACCCTCTTGGCGGCTTCGCTCAGGTGCCTCCAAGATATGAGTGAATGCTAGAGAGACCGCGGGGAGTCCAAAGGGCTGCGCCTCGCGTGGCTCAGCCTTATTTCATACCTGCGACATCTTTTAGGTGGTTCATCGGAGGGAAATCGTGACACCCCTTAACTAGGGCGCCCTTAAACTTCAAGGTATATGTGTGGGGTCTTCCTTTGCAATAAACGATTTTATGCTTTATCTGGGGTGGTTAGCCATTAGCTTAGTAAAAGTCAGAGAAGTCAAGAGAAGTCGCTGCCCTCTTCAGTACTTCTGAATTAAAAGACACCAAATCTTGCTAGTGTTCCAAACTCACGTGTGGCTGGGCCCTAATGCAAGATGTCCACTCATTTGAAACCATGGGTCCCCAGTAGCCGGTATGATTTTCGTCGGGTAGGAATTCAGAGATTTTGTTTTTGTCCGTGGCTGGGTAGAGTAATGGAAAGAACACTGTTTGGATTCGGCCTACGCTTTTCCAGCCCAGATGGGTCACTCGCCTGCCTGAGCTTGGGCCTTTGCAGTCTTGCTCTCCTTAGCTCTTAGCTGGGCTTGTTGGTTTGAGGAGATGAGGTAACACGTTGAAGTGCCTCCCACAAACTCTAGGCCTGCAGGCCTGCGCCAGAGGAATGCCTTCTTTGGAAAGTCTTGCTGAAAACCATGAGAAAAGAGCTATCATTTTAGAAAAATTCGGATTGTACTTTTCAGAATGACCTTTCCATACAACCTTTTCTTTTTTGCTCTGCAAGGGATTAAATCCAGGGCCCTGTATATGCGAGGCAAGTGTTCTCCCACTGGCCCTTCCCGTTTTCAATCCTATGATTTAAGTGAATATATATTAATATATATAAAATAATAATTATATATACATATATAATTATTATTTTGGTGGGGGGGTCTTTTTGAGGCAGGTTCTCCCTTAGCTCTGGCTGGCCTGGAACTCATGTAGACTCTGGCTGGCTTCCAACTTAGAGATCCGCCTGCTTCGGCCTCCAGGGTGCCGGGATTAAAGGTGTGCACTGGCCCACCCAGCAATTTAAGTGAATTATTAACTGCAACAGTGATCTTAGGCAATAAGAACTCAGAGCCTTAGAGGTCTTCCTTGCAAAGTAATCCAGTTACTTTGCTTTACACTAGAGGGTATTTTGTAAATAATAATTTTTTTTTAATAGAAGGAAGAGTTTTATTTATGCTTTTGCTTCCAGAGGTATAAGTGTCCATCATAGGAGGGAGGCATTGTGACAGAGGCAGTGTTCTAGTTAACTTCTCTATTGCTGTGACAAAACACTCTAACCAATACCAGCTTGGGGTGGCATTGCACAACACGGGTACACTCACATATATGCAGGCAATACACTCATACACATGAAATAAAGATAAATATATTTAAAAAAAGAGTTGGGTAGTTATGGAAGTTAAGTTTCACAGTAATGGAATTCATTGTGTGTTTTGTTATTTTTCAAAAATTCTACTTTAGCAAGTTGTATTTTTCATCCCTCATTACAGAAATTTGCCTTGTCCCTTTCTGCAGTGCCTTTCAACTGAATGCCATGTCTTGACACTTGATGGAGCAAAATAGAATGCTTGAAGACCGGTACTCTCAAGTTGAGTGTTGGAGTAGATGCTCCATCACTTCCTAGTGGCCTTGGTAAATTTTCTCATCTGTAAGATGGGAGTGACAGGAGTACCTGTTTCAGAGTTATTCTGACGATTAAACGAGCCAGTGAATAGCAGACATTTAGGAACAGTGTTTGGCCTGTGTCTTTTATCCTGAAGTAACTCATAAATTCTTTGAGAATATTTCATACTTCTTTGTATCCTCAGTGACACTGAAAGCATTAAGTATTTGATTGCTTGGATAAACTATTCCCTTACTAGCAGTAATCATACCAATAATTATAATAGCAAGCTGACCAGTACGTCCAATTGTTCTAATCTAATATGTAAGATCAGATTTCATATTTGTTCTAATTTTTTAACCCCATATTTTTCTCTTGAAGCCTTTAAAACAGTAGCACCTCCTGTGTTGTGAGGACTAGAGTTGGCAAGGGATCCCAGTGGAGCTAAATGTCATTTGTAGCCAGGCATGGTAGCGCAACACCTTTAGTCCCAGCGCTCGGGAGGCAGAGACAGGCAGATCTCTGTGAGTTTGAGGCCAATCTGGTCTACCTTGTGAGTTTTAGGACAGCTGGGGCTACATGGAGACCCTGTCTCAAAAAAAAAAAAAAAAAAAAAGTCATTTGTAGGGATAGAATAAGAGAGAGGCACACACCACATTAGAGTGAGGCCAACATGTGACTGCTTCTTTAGTCCTGTGTTGAGACTTGGGTTTGTAGCTTTCAGGTTTACAGAGGACTTTTGCTTGGCTTACAGCTTTTTTGTCTGTCCTAATAATCTTGTAGCATTAGGCAGGTCTTGTCTTGGAGAGTTAAACTTTCTTGCTTACAATTACTCAACTAATGCATGAAAAAGAGATCCAGCTGTGCCACCTGGTTACTCTCCAGGCCATTGTAGTGTTTAGTGGTTATTGTTTTCTAGGTCTTTAATATCTAACTGCAGGAATTGTCTCATTCTAAATGTTTATCTGGCAGAACATGAGCCAGGAACTGCTAAAAAAAATACATGTTTTAACTCACAAATCTGCTGTAATCCTTGCAATGACTCAGTGAAATAGATTCTGTTCCTAGACAAGTTTGGATGAGGGCTAGTTTATTGTGACTTGCTAGAAAGTGTAAGAGAGATTGCAGGAACCATAGGGCAGATGGTTCCCATATGCTTACACCCTTTCCCATGGGGTACATCATTACAGAGGAGTTCAAAGTGCATTTCTGATTATTAAAGGATTGATAGTAAAAATTAATTGGTGACTAGATTTTCTACTGCGATTTTTTTTTTTTTTTTTTTAAGGGATTGCTTGATTTGGGAGGGAGGTCGTGAATCAATACTAATAAAATAGCTTACAAAGTTTAGACAGACTCTTTTGACACAGGGTCTCCCTGTAGCCTCAGCTGGCCTGGATCTCGGTAGACCACGTTGGCCTCCAACTCACAGAGATCTGCCTGCCTCTGCTTCCCAAGTTCAGGGATTAAAGGCATGTGCTACCACGCTGGGCACTAGACAGACTTTTTTTTTTTTAATATTTTTATTTTATGTGTATGAGTGTATTGCCTGCATGTATGTGAAAACCCGTGTCGGGCAGTGCCACGGAGGTCAGAAGAGGGCTTTGGATTCCCCTGAAACTGGAGTTAAGGACCGTCCGTAGCCGCCATGTGGGTGTTGGGACTTGAACCTGGGTCCTCTGCAAGAGCAGTCAGTGCTCTTAACCTCTGAGCCCTCTCTCCATCCCTTAGACAGACATTTTTAACTAACCAACAGTAGTTAAGACTTAATGCATTTCTGAGCACTATCCTCTTGCTCTTTTTTTTCTGTTAAATGACTGGAGTTCACAGTACATCCCTGTAATCCTAGCACTTGGGAAATAGAGGCAGGAGGATCCTGAGTTCAAGGCAAAGCTCAGCTATGGAAGGAGTTGCAGACTAGCCTGAGCTATATACATTAGACCTTTTCTCAAAAAACCCCTACAAAAAGCCAAATACTATTTTATTTTTATAAAACCATCTTAGTATTTTCCCACCTCAGAAGGCTGGTTAGTTTTTAATAGTAAAGCTAGATTCTGATCTAGTTCCGTAATAGTGGCTTAATTCTTTAGCCTGGAAAGGGCTTTGTTGAGCATTTGGAGCTGTCTATATCTTGAGACTTGCTAGACTTGGTGATGCAGAAGAAAGGGGAAGGCTTTTATCTGGAAATTCCACATTGCCTGTAGTTCCCTCAATAGGGCTGGGACATGCTGATCCATAAGAGATTCTGAAAGCCAGAGATGTCTTTGTGAATTAATGACTGCTGCAGCAATTAGACATGATAGCCAAGTGAAAATTCTACCTTTTTTTTTTTTTGTAGGAAGAAAGAAGCAGAAACTTGCCAAGGAGAGAGCTGGACTTTCCAAGGTAGTAATAACTTAGTGGTTTGTTTTTTTAATATATGCTTTCTGGTTTACAGGAATATTGTCTAAAAATCTGCTTCATTTTATGTATTTTGAGAAAAACTACTTGCAGCTTTATACTGCTTTTCTACATAAAATTTAGTTTGAGAATAATAATTGTAACTTATAGAATATAAATCTTTCTTTTCATAGGTCCTGTGTTCATAATTAATTTTTAATGACAACATAGGTTTTTATCTACTTGATTACAAAATGTTCCGTGGCAGCTATGTAAATTAATTAGATGCTAATATGCATGTCACTTTCTCTGCCACTGGAATTTTTTCTGGATTTAGAACATGGACTACTGGATTACTAATGTCTCATGGTTCTTCTTAAAGCAAGTTCAGGTAACGAAAATGGAATCACTAAATGGTACATTTTGTTATTTTGAAACAGTTGGCTAATCAGCACAGCTGACTGGATAGTGGAATAAATTGAGAACCACGTGTTCTAATGTGTCCAGACTACTTTCCAAGATATGGGATACAGAAGAACCTTTGAGTATAGGGAAATTTAAGAAATACTTAGGTATGTGGGTGTGGGGGTTTGGAGGACTGTTGTTAAAATTCTAGGGGATAAATAGGCTTGCCCAATTAAGCTCCAGGTCCCAGTAGGAGACCCTGTGTCTGAAAACAAGATGAATGACTTCTGAGGAATGGCAAAGTTTGAAACCCTGGTGTACATGTGCATATCCACACATGAGAGTGCATGCATGTGCGCGCGCACACACACACACACACACACAAGAAATCTAGGTTTTAAAGCTGGATGTAGTGGTGCACACCACCTTTAGTCCCTATACAGTGGGATATTTGTCTTTTTAAGGCCAAGCCAGGGCTACATAGTGAGACCTTGTCTCAAAAAAGAAAGATAAAACTCATTATAATCTGACAGGCCTTGCAGCACAGGCCTGTGCAGGTATCTTGGGGACTGAGAGCCTGGAGGTTTCATGTTCAAGGCCAGCTTGGACAACCTGGTGAGATTTGGCACAGTTCAGTGGTAGAGCAATTAGGATACAAGGGACCCTCAGTTCAATTTGAAGCACCACTAATAAAAAAATAACATGCATACCTATAAATAAATCTTTTAGATGTGTGTAAAAATATATATGAAATGTTGACTCAATAAATGAATGGAAGTTGTTTAAAAACCTATGATGGCAATAAAAATGTTGTCATACATGGTATAGATACTTGTACTCTTCAGTTTTCTTTGATTCAGAGCTTTTTGAGACCTGTCCAAATGTCATTTTTATCAAGTTGACCAATAAATATTTTTTACTTTCATTTATTTTAATGTAGATATTCAGTTCTTGAGTTTGCAGATGTTTAGGAATAAATTTGCCAGGCGTATTGCTTTTTATTTATTTATTTATTTATTTATTTATTTATTTTTTTTTTAAATAACCATTGGGGCTGGAGAGATGGCTCAGCGGTTAAGACCACTGTTTGCTCTTGCAAAAGACCTGGGTTCGAATCCCAGCACCCACCTGGCTGCTAACAACTGTCCGTACCTCCAGTTCCAAGGGATCCGATAGCCTCTTCTGTCTTCACCGGGCGTCGCATGACACGGGTGCACTTACCTACAAGGCAGGCAATACACACATACACATAAAACAAAAATAAATAAAATATTTTTAAAAATTAAAAAAAAAAAATTTAGCCATCAGAGATTTTGTTAGGTTTTTAGTAGTTTTCTGGGTGTTGAATAAGACCCTGGCTTAATTTGTATGTGTTCTTTTTCCAGTTACCTGATCTTAAAGATGCCGAAGCTGTTCAGAAATTCTTTCTTGAAGAAATACAGCTTGGTGAGGAGTTACTAGCACAAGGTAATAGTCATTTCAAGATAAGAACTGATACGATTAATTCTTCAAACTCGTAAAAATTTATGGTGGCAGGGGGTTTGCACAGTTGGCTGTTTTTTAGAAAAAGCATTTTAAACATTTTGAGATGGGTTTTTAGGCACTTCGTTGTAAGGCTGACTCCAGAAAGACATTCCTGCAGGTTGCCATGGACTCCTAGGCATTTAAGTGAGATTCAGCCTACTTGGCTGCATCATTCAGTGTGGAAGATCTGGTAATAATTCAGCAAAACTGGAGGAGAAGTTCATTTTTACAAATGAGATCAATCTCATAAATAGTAACTGAATGAATATGAGCTGAGTTTGCTTAACATTCATCTAATCTTCAGGCCTTTTCTGTGTTTATAGGAAAGAATGGCTAGTAAGTTCAAGAGCACTAATTTACCTAATCAAGGTCACACCCTGATTTTTTTTAGCATCTCATTTCAGGACTGATCAGTTACGTGGTCCAGAATTTAGGCTCTTAATTGCTTCGTGCCTCATTTATTCCATCACCTGGATTGAAAGGTGTTTTTTTTTTTTTTCCTTCTCAAATATCTTTTGAGCCAGGGTCTCAACTGTGTACTCTGGCTCGCTTAGAACTTCCTCTGTAGGCCAGAATAGCCTCGAAGTGAAAGAGATCTGCTTACTTATGGCTCCCAAGTGCTGGGATTAAAGGTGTGTGCTACCTTGCCCAGCTTTTTCTTTTTTTTTTTCCTTTATATATATATATATAATTTTTATTTTATGTGTATGAATGTATTGCCTGCATGTATGTGAGTGTGCCTGTGTAGTGCAATGCCTTGGAGATCAGAAGAGGGTGTTGGATTCCCCTGGAACTGGAGTCAAGGACGGTTCGTAGCTGCCATGTTGGGTGCTGGGAATTGAACCCAGGTCCTCTGCAAGAGCAGTCAGTGCTCTTAACTGCTGCTGAGCCATCTCTCCAGCCCTGCCCAGCTTTTTTTTTAAAATTTTTTTTTTTTTTTTTTTTTCGGTCTCTTTGTTGGTGTTTTTTGACAGGGTCTCTCTAGTCACAGTCCACCTGGAAGTCATAGTGTGAACCAGGGTAGCCTCCATCTGGCAGAGATCCGCTTGGCTTGCTTAATGTCTTAATTAGCTTTTTTTTTTTTTTTTTCTGGTCGTTTTGAGACAGGGTCTCCCTGTAGCCCCAGCTGTCCTGGAACTCGCTCTGTAAACCAGGCTGGCCTCTATCACAAAGATATCTGCCTGCCTCTGCCTCCCAAGTGCTAGGATTAAAGGCATGTGCGACCACATCCGTTTTTTTTTTTTTTTTTTTTTTGAGACAGGGCCCTGTAGCTGGCTTAGAACTTGCTATGTAGACCAGGCTGGCCTTGATCTCACCAAGATCTGCCTACCTCTGCCTCCCAAGTGCTGGGATTAAAGACGTGTGACACCAGCCCAACTATACTCTTTAAAATTTGTTTTTACTATGCATGTGTATGTGTGGATATATGCACATGTCTAGTGGTGTGTGTGCGTGTGTGTATGTGTGTGTGTATAGGTCAGAGGGCAACCCTGTTGAGCCAGTTCTCTCCTATTTTTATGTGGGTCTAGGGATTGAACTCAGGTAGGGAGTCAGGCTTGTGTAGCAAGTGCCTTTACCTGCTGAACCATCTTGCTAGCACCAACTTTACTTTTTTACTTTATTTTGTAAGTATTTTATTATTTGTGTATGAGTGTATTGCTTGCATGTATATAAATACACCCATGTTGTACAATGCCATCAGGTTCCCTTGGAACTGGAGTTACAGACTTGTCAGCTGCCATGTGGGTGCTGGGAATCAAACCCGGGTCCTCTGCAAGAGCAGCCAGTGCTCCTAACCACTGAGCTATCTCTCCAGCCTCTTATTTAATACATATGAGTGTTTTGCCTGCATGTATGCGATTGCCCCACCTGCATGCAATGCTCATGGAGGCCAGAAGAGGGATTTGGATCTCTTAGAGCTGGAGTTAAGGACGGTTGTTGACTGTTGTGTGAGTGCTGGAAACCGAACCTGCATCCTCTGCAAGAGCAGCCCGTGCTCTTAACCACTAAGCCATCTCTCCAGCCTCAACTTTATTTTTTCTCATGTCTCTTTCCTAAGAAATAGCTTCTTGATAGAATTTGTTTGGTCAGTTTCAACAAGAGTCATAAATAGCCTTGTTCCTATAGTCAAATGGCTAGCAAAGAAAAGATATCTTTCATCAAGCTATCTCAAGTGAAGTATCGATATCATTTGGAAAACATTTCCAGGTCCGTCCAAGTCAAAAAGGCCAATAGAGGCCTAAGCTCTGAGGAAAGTGAAGGTATTTTTCTTTGCACCAAAACAGTCCTTCAGTCCAGAGTGGTCCTGCTCTTGGGGTACTGTGATAGTGGGTGATTGAACTTCCTACTGAATGGTTGTATGCTGTATTCTGGGCTTTTGGTGTTAACAGTGGGTTCCTCTGATGCTCTGGCCAGTTACTGAAAGTTACAGTAACTTCAGGTCATTGCTGATGCTGCTTTAGAGGAGATTTAAGGCCCTTGTGTCTGTTGATAAGTAGGAATTGATGAAGTCATCCAACCTTTCAGTCACCTTCAGCTCCACATCACACCATCTCCTTCCAGTGCCCAGCCCTGAGCAGATTGTCCTATGAGTATCAGTACATCCTCTCAACACCCAGGAAAGAAACTGGCCCAGTAGGTCAGAATGATGGCATGGTGATGAGTGACAGTGGCCAAAATAGGCAGTGTCCTGGTTTGTGTAGATGGTCTAACCACAGTCCCTACATTAGCAGCAGAGATTCAGCCATTTCTGACCAGCTTGAGAGGCTAAGAAAGCACTAGATGCCTCACAGTAGACTTTTCCCCAAGGTCCTTCAGTCTTTCACAGTGGTCAGTTGAAACAAGAAATGCATAACATCATTTTCATTTCTGTGGGTGCATCATAGATAACTTCTGCTTTCTTACTTGCCAGTGATTTTGACCAGCATCACTTAAAGATGAAGTTTTGATGATTTCAGATTACATGTAGTGATTTTGTACAATCTCACAGGTGAATATGAGAAAGGTGTAGACCACCTGACGAATGCAATTGCTGTGTGTGGACAGCCTCAGCAGCTGCTGCAAGTACTACAGCAGACTCTTCCACCACCAGTGTTCCAGATGCTTCTGACCAAGCTTCCAACCATCAGTCAGGTAAGGAATTGGAGTGCTTCAAAACGGCTAGTGAATAGACCTGGAACTACATATTCAGGGACAAGTCTGATGAACAGAAGTACTGGAGATGGCTTTCCTAATGTTATGTTGTCCAGATGGCTGGCCATGAGGTCTAATGATTGTGCCTAGAGGCGAATCATACATGTATGTACCTGTGTTAAGAGTAATGCCCTCCCCCCTTTTTTTTTCCCCTTTGGTCTTTTTGAGACAGGGTCTCCCTGGAGCCCAAGCTGTCCTGGAACTCACTATGTAGACCAGGATGGCCTCAAACTCACAGACATCTGCCTGCCTCTGCCTCCCAAGTGCTGGGACTAGAGGCGTGGGCCACCATGCCCAGCCCAGAGTAATGCCTTTTTATATGTGTATTTTTTTCTTTTTTTTTTATTGAGACAGGGTCTCCCTGTAGCCCCAGCTGGTGGCATGGAACTTGAGACCAGGCTGGCCTCGAACTCACAGAGAGCCTCCTGCCTTTGCCTCCCAAATGCTGGGACTAAAGGCGTGCACCACCACGCCCGGCATGAGTAATGCGTTTATATTTGAGTCCCCAAATTCAGGCCATTCGGCTACTTTTTAAATTTTTTAATTTTATTTTATGTGTATGCGTGTACTGCCTGTATGTAGGTAAGTGCACCTGTATCGTGCAGTGCCGGTGGAGGTCAGAAGAGGCTGTTGGATCCCTTGGGATTGGAGTTATGGACGATTGTTAGCTGCCATGTGGGTGCTGGGATTCGAACCTGGGTCTTCTGAGAGAACAACTAGTGTTCTTAACTGCTGAGCCATCTCTCCAGCCCCCTCAGCTACATTTGTTGTTTTTTAAATGTGTACAAGTGTATGAGTGTAAGCGTACCCATGTTGTGTAGTCCTTGTGGAGGTCAGAACCGTTTTAACTCCAGTTCCAGGGGATCTGATGATGCCATCTTCTGGCCTATGTGGGCACTGCACAACACAGTGCACTTAAATACATACATGCAGGTGTTAAAACACTCATACAGAAAAAAATTCGCAACTTATTTTTGGAGGGGGTGGGCACATAGGGCTGGTGATCAAACCCAGAGTCTTGCACATTCTAGCAAGTTCTATCATCGTTACATCCCTAACCCTTTCATACTGATTTTTAACTTGACTGGATTCGAAGAGGTCTTGGGGTAAAATTAAAGTCCCCCTCTCCCCAAAGATTTAAGGAAGAGTTACTTAGGAAACCAAGAACTTGAAGTAAATCTTAAATTTGGATGAATGTGGTTTCAGTCTACCCATACTGGAGTCCTTTGTTTAAGGTTGTATGCTGCTGTTTGAGGAGTAGCTGTCTTAATCGGTTTTGTGTTATAACAGATAATTGATGATGGGAAATGTATAAAGATTATTTGACTTAACAGGGTGGCTGCAAAGTCCAAGTAACATAGTGGCTATGTCACAGCATAGCAGAGAGTTGGAAAAGGAGCTGGTCATGTACAGAGGGGACTCATTTGTGACATTGGTTAGCTCCTCCTACAGGATCTAATAGGTTCCTGCAAGAACTGTCTCGCAGGTGGAAAGTGGCACCCTTCAGATCTCACTAACCAGTATTCCTAGTTTACGTAGGCGTGGAAAGAAGTCCTAAAGACTTTTGGGTTACATATTTGACTTAACGTACAGCATAGGTCACCTGCTTCCTTTATTCATTTGACTTGTATGGTATTGCAAGTTGTGTGATCATTCCTCCCTTCCTATCTTCGGCATCCCTGGTGCCAGGATTACAGGTATGTGTCACTGTGCCCAGCCCATCTTCATTTTCTTAGGTGTAGTAATCCCTGAAGTGTTATATGTTGAAGTCAATGTCAGAATGGGTGAACTTCAGCAAGATTTGGTTCTTTGACTATGAAGAACAATTTAAGCTTAACTTGGAATTATGGTTAAATGCTTAGGAACACTTTTCAAAATTAATTTTTTTTTTTTTTTTTTCCTTTCAGAGAATTGTAAGTGCTCAGAGCTTGGCTGAAGATGATGTGGAATGAACCAGTTAGCAACATGATAAAATCTCTGTTTAAATGATTTTAAAAATTCTTAACTTGGAGGTTGAGCAGCTCTGGGGAATAAGGGCAAATATGCTTTTATGGACTGTCCTACACTGAAATCTACCAAAGTGAATGTTTACTTTGAGTAGATCCATTGTCTGTTTTATTTATTTTTCCCAGTGAAAGTGTATTTTGATAGAGCTTTTCGTTTTATAAATACACTGAGTTACCAAAATATCATGGATTTTGTTTGTTCCTTAAGACATGCAGTTAAAATGTAAATACAGTAGAACATTACTTAGGTTAAAACTCCCAGTGAGCAGTTTCAAAAGATTGGGAAAAGGTGTGGAAGATAGTTGAAGAATGCACATTTTTAAAGACTGGTACATTTTCCTGTAAATTATAAAATTGGATAGAAACTGTGTTTGTGAAAACTGAGCATTAAAATCTTCCAGAGAGCGGCTCTTTCTGTTTACTCGTAAATGTGTGAAGTGTGCTGCTGTTGCTGACTTCACTTCCACCCTGTGTGTCCTTGAAACTTGTCTTAAGTCGGCGGACTTACTGTTCTCTAGGTAGTTAATCATGGTATGTTAAGTACATGTAGCTTCAAGTAGCAACAGGACTTAAAATTGGATCTCACTGGTGAGCTTTGCTTGCCCGTGCCTGCTTACTTTCCCATGTGTAGACACATGCTCCATCTGCTGGTCTCTGAGGTGTCATGTCCGTTTTAACTTGTGATTCAGTTGGTTCTGTTTGGTGCCTTTGGATGCATCTCCAGTTCTGCAGAGTCTTGGAGCAACCAGGCCTTGCACTTTCTTATATTCTGAATTTTGCATGTTTGCCTGACTTAGTATTTCTGGATTAAGCTTTATTTAAGTGAAATAACTACTTTGTCAATTTTCACTGCAATTCTGTAAATTCGCCAGAAACTTAACCTTTAAGGTGATTGGATGATCTGCTTATAAAAGTGTTCCTGTTTTGCTGTTGCCAGTTGTACCTCCTTGATCCCACTGCAGGTTGATTAATGTATCCTGGATAATGAAGTGGAGTGTATTCTTGTGACTGGAGACTTGGCTGAAGCAGGTGGGAGGAGACTCTTACTTAAATGGTGGCCTATTCTCTGATACAAGCTGTTTCTGAATTTAGAATGAAGATCCTTCTCTGTCCTGGCAACTGTTCACCAAGCAGCATTCTTACAGGATAACGTACCTGTGTTCTGCCAGACTTCCAGGTCCTAGACTTTGATTTTTGACCCCTCACCATTATGGTGGGTTTGTTGTGATGGCAGTGTAGTGGGAGGAATTTGGAATGTGTCCTTAACTTTGCCTCTGGAGTAGTGTGGTTAGAGCAGCCTTGGGTAGCTCCCCTCACATCAGAAGTTGGCTTTAGTGTTCTCTGGTGGAATACCAGGCCAGGAGGAACATTATTTGAGGCCTCTTTCCCTTTCAGGCTTGTGGTCATGAATCCTTAAACAGTGCTTTCTTGACAGGCACTCGTGCTTAGCGGGTGGCTCTCAGATATGCTGGTTGAGTCTTATTGGTGGGCTTTCCTATCCTAAACAGTGTGATGACTAGTCAGAGATGGACTACACTTCCAAGAAAGTCCTCTGCAATCCAGACATGGATAGAAGGCCAGAGGGGAGTAGAGGTGGGAACAGCGCTGGTGAGGAAAAGGCCCGAGGTGATGGCTGGGGTGGAGGGTAGAAGGGGAAAAGACTGCCTGGAGGAGAGGGTGGAGATACCATCTTGGCTTTGAGCTGATGAAGCCAAGGCTGTTTTAAATAGGTGTGGAGCTTCAACATTAAGTGCCACTTTGGAACACTAGCTGTATTTGGTTAAAAACAATCAGCTGCGTCCCCTACAAAAACAATTGCTAAACACTCTTCCCACCTGAAGTTATACAGATGGAACTGGGAAGCCTTATGTTGGGTCCGTGATGCTCAGGAGGCGAGATTGAAGAAAACCAGTTTTAAGTGTTGACACGTGTGCCACCTCTGGAGACACATGTTCGGGCATGCTGGTTTGGGCTGCGTTGTTGCGTGCCATTGTTTGTACTTAACCTGGAAGAGTTTAGGGTAGGGTTGCCTTGACCAGCAGTGTAACTCTAGTAGCATAGTGTGAATAAACAGGCAGTCAGGGTGTTCCTTTCCTTTTACCATTGCCCACCTGCCTTCATGACCTTGAATCAACCTGTGGACCAGCGTCGTAATGAGCTGTTGCTAAATAGTGTATGTTATAGACAGTATAACAAATTCTCTTTTTTCTAACATAAAAAATTAAGTTTTGTTTCTGCTTTGCCTCAGCTGTGTAAGTGACTATTAAAGGGCTTGGAGAACGTTGTGGCTTGGTGTATATTTGCAGACCTGAAGGCTGTTGGTTTTGGTGACCACATAGAAAGCATGCCTGTCAGAAGGTCACCAGCAGAGCTATGCAGCCTTCCCACTTCATCCTATTAAAGTCCATTTGCGCCCTTACTCCAGGGTGGAGGGTTAAGAAGCCCTCAATGTCATTAGGTGAGAGAGTCTGTGTAGTAGTGGGGTGGGGTCAGAATCACCTGGAAGGCATGTTAGAAGAGGCGCAGGTATGGGGCAGTGAGGTGGTCGAGGATGCTGATCTGAGGTCACTGAAAGAAGCAGTGGGGTTTGGCAATGTGGAGCCGTGGGTAGGAAAGCCTTCCTAGGAACAGCAGCCATCGGATAACAGGATAGGATCCTTAACTGTGCTAGTCCACAACCTCACTCTAACAGTCTGGAGCATAAAGATTCAATAGTACTTTCTAAATGTGTGGTAGGGAATTTCAGATAGTTCACCAACTGAACGAGTTTGCTCATGAAGTTACACTAATTTTAGTTTCTTTTCCATGTTTAGGGAGATGAGACGTGAATGTAATATTTTTCTCCCTTTTCCAACATGGGGTTTCTGTTGTGTATGTGTGTATGTATTCATACACAGAGTTAACTTCTTTTTGGCTTTGTGAAATCAAACTTTAAGCACAGGAGTACTGATAAGACCCTTGTTTGTTGGCACACAGCTGTAACCCAACTAATTACATGCTGAGGCCTCTAAAAACTAAAGGAGTCGAGCACTTCAGAGCACTTCACTGTAGCAGTGATAAGGCGGTAGGAGCTGGAGGGGAAGTTAACCCTAGAGGCTTGCGCCTCAACTGGCATTTGTGGGAAAAGGTGGCCCTGGCCGTATGCAAATACCACATGCCAGGATGTGATCTGAACATTGTAGAGACTGGATGTGCAGCATTTCTTGCAAACTCTGTTTCATAAGGAAGTTGACTACCCTGAATAGGCCTTTAGTTTCTTGGCAGGTTGCACATCTTTAAGTTCCAAGGCTGAATTCTCTACTCAAATTGACAGTGCCTAGAGGCTGAGACTGTGCGTTCAGTGGCCCCTGGACTTTCACATCTGTAGATGAAAGCCTCCTGTGACAAGGACAGTCTTGTCTTGGCAAAGTGCCTCTGCCAGCGATCCCTGTATCCCCTCCCTAAAGGGCTCTGCACTAGTTCCCAGCTGCAGAAACTCAAGTGTTTTCTTTTTCACAATGTGGCTATCTTTCCTCTGGCCTCCTCCTCCCAAGTGCTGACACTACAGGGATGCATCGCTGTGCCCAGCTCAGATCCTAATTTTTGAATTAGTTTAAGACACATCGCACTTCTGCATGGGAAGAGTAGATTCTCCAAACTGTTCCATCTCTGCTTGTCATGAGAGTCATTGTCAAGGAAGCAGCTAGAAGTAGGGTGGGGTGTGGGAGGGCATACTTGTACTCCCAGTACATAGGAGGATCAGGAGTTTGAGACCAGCCCTGGGCACATGGTTCTAGGCCAAATTTGGGCCCTGTGGGGGTTGGAAGGTTCAGGGTTTGAAGTAGAAGGGTAAATTGATTATGCCTGTTTGACAAGATTAAAGGCATTGGGAGGGAGGTGGGTGTGTTTTGTTTTTATTTTTTACAGTCTCAACATAGCCCAAGCTAGCCTTGAACTCCTAATCCTCCTGTCTTTACCTCCGGAGTACCGGGGTCACAGGTGTGTGCCACCACACTCAGCATGTCGTACCTTTTTATGTGAGGACTTTGAATTGGTGAGATGGGCCAGCAGGTAGAGGCACTTGATGCAGGCTGACCGCCTGAGCTTGATTCTCAGCTCCTATAAGATGGTAGAGGAGAGCCAGCTCCAGAGTTGTCTTCTGACCTCCATGTGTGCACCTCCACATGTGTGCGCACACATACTAAATCCATAATGGAATTTATTTTTATTTTATGTGTATCTGTGTATTGCCTGCATGTAGGTAAGGGCACCTGTGTCGTGCAATGTCTGCAGAGGACAGAAGAGGCCATCGGATCCCCTGGAACTGGAGTTATAGACAGTTGCTAGCTGCCGTGTGGGTGCTGGGATTCGAACCCGGGTCTTCTGCAAGATCGGTGTTCTTAACCGCCGAGCTGTCTCTCCAGCCCTAATAATGGACTTTAAATGTGTGAGGATTATGTTAGAATGCATTTGTAACTTCAGCACCCCTGCTGTTGCAGCCTTTGAGTGCAGCTAATGTCTTGGGAGTGTGGCAGGACCTGTGTGTGGGCTGTGTTGAAGTGAGTGGGAGGCCATATAAGTTGGGTTGGCCTTTAGCAGCTATTTTTTTTTTTTTAATTTTAATATGTGTGTATGTAAGTGTACTGTCCTGCAATGCTATGGAAGTCAGAGAGTGCATTGGATCCCCAGGAACTGTTAGCTGCCATGTGGGTTCTGGGTCCTCTGTGAGAGCAGCCAATTAACTGATGAACTGACTTTCCAACCTCAGCAGCTGTTTCTGAAACATGGACTGAAAGTCTGCAAGTAGAGCACACCAGTTCCACAGTTTGGAATAGTACCCTCAGTAGTACTGCTAGTGGGCTTGATGGTGTGTGCAGCTGTAATCTCAGCCTCCCAACTCGGGAGACGGAGGCAGGAGGATTGCTTTGAGTTTAAGGCCAGCCTAGGCTACATGGTGAGGCCTTGTCTCAAATTTAATAAATAGGCTCCCTGTCTCAGCAGCCACTCTAATCTCTTTGGAATCTTTGCTTTACTTTACTAAATAAACTGCTCAAACTGTCAAAATATTAATAAAGATATGTTGGGGACCCCTGTTGTGTAAAGTAGCAGTCTCCATGTCCGGATAGCCCATGGGCTTGGCCTCATGCAGAGATTCCTTTTTCAGCAGGGTGCCTTCCCGGCATCTTCCTGACTCATCTTTTGAAGCAGCCATCACAGAAACATGGCCTCTGGCTCAGGAACTGCCAGCTTTTTCCTGTGTGATTTTCAGGCAGTCTGGTAGCCTGGCAGGAGCCCACTTCCACATGTAAATAAGGCATCCTAAAAGTACCTATCAGCTAAGGTTTTCACCACTACCCCCACGGTATAAAGTGTCCTGGTTTTCCCTCAGTAATTGGAGCTGGATCACCAAGACTTGGAGCCACGCAGAGTCAGGAGAATAAAGTAGCTGT